ACATTATCAATATCATTCCCTTAAAGTCAGACTCAATTAATCTTGAAATTTTTTTGTCAGTGGTAGAGCTTCTATGATTTTTCCAAATTTTTATCTCTTTTGCGCTGTACAGCAATGCTTGTAATAGCATAGGTGCTAAATAAATATGCATTGAATGAGCAAACCAAAGAATCTTTTCTCTGCAACTAGTCTATTAAGTTTTCTATTTTGCCTTGAGTTATTGTGCTAGAAAATAATCATTCCTAGGCAATGATCTGTTTCTATCTTTCTCTCTTTTTGTTAGTTGTTGAAGTAGCACTCTGTTTTAAAATTATTTTTTATGGTATAAAGTAGCACTCAAAAATGATATATATTTAAGGTGAACAGCATGTTTTGATATACACATTACATAGTGAAATGATTACTACAGTCAAACAAATTAATATTTTTATCATTTCACATGGTTATTTTTTGTGGTAAAAGTACTTACAAATCTACTCTTAGCAAATTGCCAGTGTATCATACAATATTGTTAGCTACAGTCCTTATGCTGCACATTAGCTCTCTGGACTTACTCATCCTACATAACCGCAAGTTTATGCCCTCTTACCTACATTTCCCCATTCCCCACCCTTATGTCCCTGTTGCTGGTAACCACCATTCTACTCTCTATTTCTATTTATTGGAGTTTTGTTTATTAGTTTGTTTTAAATTCCACATGTAAGTGAAATCATGCAGCGTTTTTCCTTTCTGCATCTGGCTTATTTCACTTAGCATAATGTCCTCCAGTTTCATCTATGTTGTCAAAAATGGCACAATCTCTTTTGTTTTAAATGGGTGAATAATGTCTATATAGATATACACACACACACTCATACACACACATGCACACACACATATATAGTGGATGTATATCACGTTTTCTATATCCATTCATCTGTCAACAATTACTTAGGTTGTTTCCATATCTGTACCTTGGCTATTGCAAATAATGCTTCAATGGGCGTGAGGGCATAAACATCTTTATCAGGTGGTGATTTCATTTCCTTTGAGTGTATACTCAGAAGAGGGATTGCTTGAAACCTCTTCCAAGTACTTGACACATCTCCTTTATCATTTCAAATCATGTATATTTATATTGTCTTTAATAAAGATCTCAAACATTTGATCTGTTTTTTCTTTCCATCAAACCAGCTTTTGTCTTCTATTTAATTTCATCCTTTATCTTCATTAATTACTGCCTTCCTCATTTCTTTGGTTTACATTGTACTTTTTAATGTAAGTTATTTAGGTACTATGTACTTAATTTCTTAATTTATGTCTTTTTTCTCTCTAATAATGAAATAATTTAATTTCTATTGCATTTCAATAGATTATAATTTTACTTTTGATATGAGTGTTAGGAGAATGTTCCTCAATTTCCTGGTGATTAGAATATTATCTCTGAAGCTTTTTTTTTCCAGGGATAATAATCACATAAGATAATCATTTTAAAGTGGAAATTCAGTGGCATTTAGTACATCCACAATGATGTGTAATGACCACTTCTATCCAGTTATGAAACATTTTCATCCTCCCAAAAGAATCCTTTTACCCATTAAGCAATCAACCTTCATTCGTATCTCTACCCTCTTCCCCCACTCAGGTTCTGGAAGCTACTAATCTGCATTCTGTATCTGTGGATTTATCTGTTCTGGATATTTCATATAAACTAAATCATACAATTGTGACTTTTTGTGCCTGACTTCTTTCAATTAGCATGACATGCTGTCTGCAACAACCAGTTCAGGAAACCAAAGCATAGCCCCTGTAGCAGTTGGCCCAAAATGGCCAGGACTTCGTCAATAGCTGAAAGCTTTTCTAATTCCTCTGTCCCACTGGAAACTTAAGGTCAACCAAGGGAAGTCAAATATGCTTCCCTAACCAATTATATAGGATGCAGCACTTCTAATTAGCCTGCCTACGGCTTCCCATTTGAACAGCCTCCAATAAGGGCATACCTGAACCTTTCCCTTTTTCTTTTCTCCACTATAAAGTTCTCCCACTCCTCTGCCTGCTTTTGAGTTTCTGTCAAACACAAATGATGGTAGTTGACTCCCTTGCTGTAGGAAGTGCTGAATAAATAGTCTTCACGTGTGCTGACTCTGGTGGTCTTTATTTCCACACTCAAATGTGCTGTATAGATAAGCAGAAACCCAGTTTCAATCTCACTGTATCCTTTCCACTTTCTCAATCTTGAGGATTCTGCTCAGTTTCATTTATTGTTTGATTAATTCTTTCTCAGGTGTTGCCCTCAGTTGAGATACATTGCCAACATGTTTTTAAAATTCTTGCACGTCATTAGATGTTGTCCTATGCCTTGTAATGTGCATGATGTTTTAATTAAGGACAGGATTCCTTAGGTACAGTCTTTCCTCTTGGTTACCAGTAGTCCTCATCTACTGTCTTAAAGTTTCTAGTCATGTGAATGAGAAGTGTAATTCTTCTTCTTTCGGGGGAAAATATTTTTTAACACTTGTCTTAGTTGATTTTGTGTTGCTATAACAGAATACCTGACACTGGGTCATTTATAAATATAATAATTTATTGTTATTTATAAAGATAATAGTTTATTTGGCTCACAATTCTGGCTCAATTTGGCTCACAATTCTGGAGGCTGTGAAGTTCAAGATTGAGCAGCCCATCTGGTGAGTGTCTTGTGCTGCTTTAACTCAGGCAGAAAATGCAAGAGGGAGTGAGCACATGCAAAAAGACACTCAGGAGACACTAACCAATTCCCACAAGAGAACTCACTTACTCACTGGAGAAAGCATTCATGAAGGCAGTGCCCCCATCAACCAGACACCTCCCATTAGGCCACGCCTCCTAACACTACCAAAGTGAGAATCAGATTTCAACATGAGTTTTGACAGGGAGTGGGGGTAATCACATCCAAACCACAGCAACATTTAAGTTTTTGCATAAACCTAGGAGCTCAGGCATTGTACCTGGATACATTGGGTATGCATGTCTTCTTATCAGTCTTGAACTCTAACATCCTCTTTACCTGTAGACTCAGGTCTTTCATAAGCCTAGGTAAGCGTTTTTTGTGGTTCCTATTTTCTTCCCCTAATATGTTCCCTTTTTACCTTGTGGCGCTTCTATCACTACTTAAATCTTCTATGCTTTCCTTCATGATTTGTGTCTAAAATTATATTCATTTAAATATACATTTGCACTTGATCTGCAAAGCCTACTAATTTAGTTCCATATACAGGTCACTCTTCCTCACTTTACTACTGAATTATTTATTTAGGAAATTATTATTTTTACCCCAGGATGTCTCTTTAGAGCTTCACTGAAATCTTCGTAAGTGTTCTATTTTTTATTATTTTTATAATCAAAATGTCATCTGTCTCCTTCAGCAGTTGTTTTACTAGTTGTGCATTTTTATTCATTGCCTTCATCTTCATATTTTTTACTGGGCTCCCCTGGGCTTCTTTAAGTGGCTTCTTGAGATTTTATAGATCTCCAAGGCACAAATCCTTTGGCCTCTTATGGGGCAGAGTGAAGCAGTACACTCATGCAGAACCAAAAACTACCTTCTTAAGGTGTCCAGAAATCTCCTTTCAGAATCCACCACTCTCTGGCCTTTGGCCTAGGCTTCTTGATGCTAACCTTAGGTTTTTCCACTCCAATAGAGCCAAAATAAAATCCATTATTTTCACCTATATCTGGAGCCCCACCCAGTCTAGCATCACAGTTGCCTAGCACTACATAGAGGTGCCAAAAATGTTGACTCAGGATTAATTTGTTTGAAAGCAGAAGAGGGTGATTTTCCAGGAACCATATTGCTGGAATCCTTTTGTCTATAAGCAAAAGTGGATCAAGTATGCATAAGTCACATCATCACTCACTCTTTCAAGCTATATTATGTACACTATCATAATCCCTCTCCTACTCTTTCAAGCTATTTTATATCGCCATCACTTCTTTCAGCTGTAATAAACACAATACCCAGGGAGCACTTAGAGGAAGAAGAGGCTGATCAGCAGCTCAATCTCTTTTTCTTTTGCTCAGCGTCCTCAGCAGGTTGCTTTCAGCTTCACAGAGTTGTTTACAAAGACAGAAAGGAAAGAGTAGTGGAGAGGTAATGCTGCCCCCATTCTCACATAGAAAGCTTTCCTTGGAAGATACCTTCTGTCTCATTGGTCAAATCAGGTTCACATGATTACCCTTAGCTGCAAGAGAGCCTGGGAAAGAGAGTGATTCACATTTTTAACATTTATCATGGTGAGAGAAGGAAATTGCTGTTAGGCAGGCAACTGATATGGCTTGCCATATTCTCAGAGGACTATTAGGGGTTAAGTCATGGGGTGGGAAAAATATGCCTCTGGCTACCTAATAAATCTGTTTTCTTGAATTGAGTGATGGCTGCCTCCTTCTGCTTGTGGAGTGTCCATGTGTGTGGGGCACTGTTGAAGACAGACATATCATTTTCCTAATATCTCTTGTCCTGCTACTCTGCCTCAAGGCTTCATCTGTACTTTGTGCTTAAAAATTACTCCTGAAATCTGGCATATCTTTGATCAATAGTCCTAGCTTCTAACATGGTTGAAAATTTACATTTGTTTTTGAGATTTGCTAAGAATTTCATGGGAAAGTTGACAAAGGGTGTGGGGTGTGTTTTCTGAATGCCCTTGGCTTTGGTGCCAGAATTGGCATCAAGGACTTGGCCCCAGTGACTCCACAATGAAGCAGATGCTCCTTTGCATTCACCTGACTGCATGATGTCAGCGGCTGCAGCCATGGACGACTGATGTCACCCAAGGCAAGGTGAGGGCAGATCAGTTCCTCTTAACCACAATTCTATATACAATATCGAGAAGATATTTTTCAACGTACAGAAAGAAAGCCTAATTGACAGCCAAGAGCTTAGCTGCTCTGAAGTTGTTAATGAACAAGATAATAACAGGTTTTACTTTTTGCAATGGTATAATTTTTCCTCTAAAAATTTCTGCTAATGTTTGGGTTGTGATAAAAGAATAAGTCCCTTAATGTTAGGTGATTAATTTATGCTACACCAGATCATATGGCATACAGTGACTGCAGATGATCTAATTCTCAAAGGCAGTTTTTCAGAAGGAGCAGAAAAGGCAAGTCAGGGTTAGCAAAGTCCAGGCAGAGACCTGGACTATACTGAACTATACTGTTTAAATTAAAAATACTGAATTATTTAAAAAATGAATGTTTTAGCAAATGAGCACAGTTTTATATGGTGAGAATGAAGTTAGTAGTTTGTGATTGTTTGGCTAGCCATGGAGAACCTTCTATTCCAAATGAGGAGTTTATCTAGTCATGATGAAATATTTTGGGGAAGAGGGGTAAAGTAGAAAAAAATTAACAATAGGTTTAAAAAATCTTTCATATAACATATTTTCTTCTTCATTCTTGGAGGGCAAAGCACCCATCACCGCCTGTTACACTGATTTAGATAAGCCCTAGATGTCTAATTCCCAAGCATAAAACATTCTGATGTCTCATGGTATCTTGCCACCAAAATGTGGTCGAGAGACTAGTAGTATCTTATCACTTGGGAGCTAGTTAAAAATGTAGGACCCGTACATTCAGCAAGTAGCTGGTCTGTATGCTCTGAGTGAGGGTCTGAGTCACCTGCCATTTTGCTGGAGGAGCCCCTTGGGCCGTAGTAAACATTTACAATGTCTTCCATCTTTGAGTGGATCTACCGAGGCTTCAGCAGTGTGCCCCAGTTCCTAGGACTTGACAAGAAATCTGGAAAACTTGTGTTCTTAGGTTTAAACAGTACAGGAAAAACAATTCTTCTTCACATGATCAAAGATGACAGATTGGGCCAACATATTCCAACACTACATCCGACATCAGAAAAGCTAACAATTGCTGGAATGACTTTTACAACTTTTCACCTTGGTCGGCACGAGCAAGCATGCCGGGTTTGGAAAAATTGTCTCCCAGCAACAAATGGGATTGTCTTTCTGGTGGACTGTGCAGATCATTCTTACCTTATGGAATCCAAGGTTGAGCTTAATGCTTTAATGACTGATGAAACAATATCCAATGTGCCAATCCTTATCTTGGCTAACAAAATTGACAGAACAGATACAATCAATGCAGAAAAACTCCGTGAGATATTTGAGCTTTATGGACAGACCACAGGAAAGGGGAATGTGACCCTGAAAGAGCTGAATGTTCGCCCTATGGAAGTGTTCATGTGCAGTGCACTCAAGAGGCAAGTCTACAGGGAGGGTTTCTGAAGTTTTGACAGTGAAAATAAGAGTATTACTTCTCTGGACTGATCATATTCACAGCTTCCTCATGAACTTTTCTAATAGAACAAGGAAAGCTCTCCAACCATATCTGGCATTGTGAAGCCTAGAGTCTCTGTCAACTTTCTCATCACCCAGTGGTGACATGTGCTCTTCTCCACACCGTTGGGAGATAATGCTGTCCTATGTGCAGTATTCTGGTCAGTATCCTGGGACTTGGAAGTGGGCAGGATTTGCCGGGTAAAGCTATGTACCATTGTGGGGCACCTGAAAAGAAAACACGTCTCACCACTGTAATTGATTTCAAAAGAAAGCAATTCTATTTTTTAAAGAAAGTGTTGTTAATGTAATTGGTATCCCTCCTCACGTTTTTAGTTCACAGTTTACTTGGTCTAGAGTTCTCTATTCTTTTTTATTAACTAATGAATGATACTTAGATACTTCATAAAATTAAGCGCAGATACACATTGGAGACCAGAGCTCATCTGGGTGAACTTACTCCTGCTGAGTTAGCAGGTTGGTGAGAGAAACTCCCACGAGCACACCTGTCTCTCTAGCTGCTTTGGAGTAGGTGGCATTATCTCGCCCACACGGAACTAGAGAAGGGACAGAACTCTGGCCTTGCAGTTGTGGCAGGTTTCACTGTGGTAAGCTAGGGTCACTCCTCATCGGGGAATGTGTAGCAGATTGTTCACTGTGGAGGAGTTAATTATAGACTGGGTTATTCTTACTTATAAAGTTACAGATTTCAGCCAGTCTCTGCTTTTGTACTTTTGTGAAATTTTATTTCTCTCTATGGCGCCTTTTTCATTTTTGGTTATAAAAAGTGACTTTCACTTTTTAAAAGAGTTGAGAACATCTCTCATGTCACATACTGCAGGTGTGTCAGTTACTTTTATGTAGATTCTAGAGGGAAATTTTTCTAAATAGGGAGACAGGACAAAATTAACAGTTTAAGGGCTCTTAATTCTGTGAGTTGAGAACTGAAAAGTATTGTGGTACTTGTTTGGATCCAGAAATTTTACTCAGTGAGCTTTAAAATCTCCATTTGTGAATTTGGACTTTATTGGGCTGTTCATGAACTCTTTTTCTTTCATCTTGCCTCCTTAGATATCTGTGTTGTTGGTATTAAAGTATCGGTTAACATCTTTTCCAGGTTTGTTTGTTTTTTTGTTTTGGTATGGAATTGCCTTTCTCTGTTGCAGAAATAAGCTGGGGGAAATACTAACCCAAAAACTTTCTGTAGAGCTGTTCCTTGAGAGACAGCATCACTTATTGGCAGTAAAGACTCTCTGCATAAAAGCACCAGCATCCTTACCAGGGTGATGAGGTTTAATTTTATAGCATTCTATTTTCCTTGTACCACACGTAAAATTGAATTTTGGTGATCTTAACCTATATTCTACCCTTGTAGTAAAAGATCAAACCATAGATCTCCCAGGAAAAGATAACACAGGAGATGAAAAGTTGGGAGGATATCTGTATTCTAATGTGAGGGTAGGGAAAGTGTGGATAATGCATTTCCAGGGTAACAGAGTATCCTTCTTTAGTTGCAGTTTTCATTCTCAGTCTTCAGTACTGACTTGCTGGGAAAGCATGCTTTTTCACTGCCGGGTACCGAATGCAGAGACTCAATGAAATATATGCCTGGGATGTCCGTGCATTTCACTTATTAGTATGCATGGCTGGATTGAGACAATTGTTGATTTGGAAAGGGGTTAAAATCTTAAACGAAAAAAATCTATCTAATAGTGAATGAAGTATGTAATTAACTTGGATATTTTTAATTTCCTGTGACTAAAGGTTCCCCATACTTCTCTATTCAGAAACATGAGAAGTATGATTGCTTCAGTGTTAGTTTTCCTCCTTTTTTTCCCCTATTTGTCTCTAGTCACTTTGTTGCAAGCTAGAAAACTGGAGGTTCTCCATAGGAAAGCTCTTTGTGAAAGTGTTTTATCCCACTGGAGAAAGGGGATTGAAAATCAGTTAGGACCAGTGTATTTCTTGCCCCACAGAACACTATTCCTATAATAAAATAGCTGAAAGAAGCTGCTGTGTGGAGCTTTGGCACCTTGTACAGGAATTCCAGTGAATTCAGACTTTTCATTCTGTTTTATCAGGGTACATATATGTCCTATTTCAGGAAAAGTAAAATCGTCATTTGCAAAAGAATGTCAATCTGTATCCTAAGCATTTATGTAAAAAGTTAAAACAAAGCAAAAGTGTAGAGCCTTAGATAGCACCTACATCTACTGAACCAGAGCCTCATTTTACCAGATCCCCTGGTACACCGGTATGGGAGAAGCACGGACATGGCTTCTGAGAGTGGGGATGGTATGAAAGTGAGAAGGCGAAACGGATCATCTTATTTCAAGACACTGTGGCGATTATGTGGTTTAAGTATCTTTATTACTTTATTACTTTTAGGTTTGGCTTACTTGGCTTACTTTTCAGGCTCAGCCTTCTTCACTGTGAATTGCACATCTAAAGCTTTCCATGTACTTATTTCTAACAGTGACTTTACCCAGTGCCTGAATTTTCACTGTTAGAAGCATTTTTTTTTTTTTTGCATTAAATGTGGGCAGAGGTTAAAATAGTCATGTATTCCCTAAAATAGATAATGCATTATGCTGTTTTCACATGAGGCAAGACTTATTCAGTCCGTGTGTGTGTGTGTGTGTGTGTGTGTGTGTGTGTTGAAATAATCATGAAGCAGAGACTAAAGAAATTTGAATCAAAAGTTTGCATCTGGAGAAGGGACAAATCTGAGATACGAAGCATGGCTGTGAGGACCGTGGGCAGCAGAGGGCAAGGAACAGCCTGGAAAATGGAGCTGTGAGGGATCAACACAGGAAAGGTGGGAGACACATCTCAGAAACAGCTGACTTGGGGTCAGCTCTAACACTGTCTACTTAGTGTATATAAATTGTTAAATAACACATTTGATTCCCTCCTCAACTCTTTCCTGAGACAAATATCACTCAGAATCTTCCTGTCTGAATTCCAGAAGAGTTAAACACAGCATCACCTTTCAGAAAATTCTTTCATCTAAATGGAGTATCTAAAATGTCTTCTATTTAACTTTTTGGTTCTCACCAGAGTAATACTTTAAGATTACTATATAAATAAACAAGCTGAAAACTAGATGTGCCAGTGACAGCTTTAATAATCCAATCCTTTTTAAATTGTGTAATGAACTTTTTTTTTTAATTTTTTTTCCTTTTTTTAAGACAAGGTCTTACTCTGTCGCCCAGGCTAGAGTACAGTCGTATGATCTTGGCTCACTGCAACCTCCTCCTCCTGGGTTCAAGTGATTCTTCTGCCTCAGCCTCCCTAGTAGCTGGGATTACAGGGACCTGCCACCGCACCTGGCTAAGTTTTGTATTTTTAGTAGAGACGGAGTTTCACCATGTTGGCCAGGCTGGTCTTGAACTCCTGACCTCAGGTGATCCACCTGCCTCAGCCTCCCAAAGTGCTGGGATTACAGGCTTGAGCCACCGCACCCGGCCTGTAATGAACTATTTTTAAATGTTAGATAAAGATTGTTTTTTGTTTCTGTTTTTGTTTTTCCTATTTCAACAGTCAGGAGTAATGCAGCATCCACAGTATTGCTCTACAATGATGTTTCTTAAGTCTATACTTTGTTCACTGAAAGAAGTGACAATTTTATTTAAATACTTTAGTTCTTTGAGATGGAAAGCGAATACTGCCATCTCTGGGTGCTTGCTATGTGCCAGCTCTGGCACTAAGACGATTAAGATAATTATTTTAGGAGGAATAGAAACTATTTCAGAGCATTTTCATATGAAAATGATTCTAAAGAAAATGTGCTCAGAAATTTTGGAACAAATCCTCGGCCCACAACCTCCCTCCCTGTCTGTGCCTCACAGGCACGTGCAGAATCAGATGAGTTGGGCTCAAACCTCACTTGGGCATGTCACTGAATAGACTTTTTGTTCCTTGTCCTCTGAATATTGAATCCTGAAACTCCTGTGGTAGAAAAAGTTATTAAGCGCCTTGAAAGGTATAGAAATCTATCATTAAATGATAGATTTAGATTTTTAAATTATCTTACTAGTTGTACAAACAGTCAAAATAATTTTCTTGTTAGTAAAAAATGGCGCTTTGTTAAACTTATCCCAAATGATATTTAAATACTTTGCGATACAAAGTTATTAATACCTGAGGAGCTACAGGACATGTGAATGGTTTTTAATCTAATTTCTGTTGCTCTAACCTCTGTACTCATGTTTATAACTCCAGCCTAACATAATACTCTCTTCTGACATCCCAAAGTTCATTATTATTTTATTCCAAAATCTCATAATTTTTTCAAGCTTGCCACAAATATGATCTTAAAGTACATAGATCTGCATTAAATCTTTCTGATAAACCAGGTGTGCCCCTTATTCTTTGACCTTTGTTCAGTCGGTATGAACATACATTCTCTTCTGATTCTAGTGAAGTTGAAATTTTTCCCATACATTTCTTAGTTATTGTATTATAATTTTTATTATTTTTGATAGAGTCTGCTTATTTTCATTATCTTTATATCTGTTGATACAGTAGTAGCACATTATATTTGTTGTCACATTTTATGTATTATGGGTGTCAGTTTTTTGGTCATACTTTATTCACCTATTCCCCGGGTTACAATTTGCCTTTAGTATTTGATTATTTGTTTTAGTTTTAAATTTTAAGTTTTAAATATTTAAACATTCAAAAGTCTTTAACTGATCTACACCCAGAACATTTTCTTAAGCAATTTAATGTGAATGATCATTCAAAGTCGAATTTGTTGAAATATAATAGCAGATATACATCAGGAGTCTCTTTGGAGATCTGAAACTCTCCTGCAAGGGGCTCCTAGGACACAGAGACATTTAAAATCAATAAATTAATTAACAAACAAAATGCTTTCTTTCCTGAGCATAGTCACTGTTCATTTTGATATCTCAAGATAAACATCTTATAATTCCTATGCATTATTCAAACATGGAAAGATAAGTGTCTGCATATATAATCAAATGGTCTGCACTGGATAAAATCCAGACTCATTTCATAAACCAATGTGGAGCAATTTTGATAGCTTTTCACTCATTTTCTCTAATTGGAAAGAAATTTACATATAATCACAGTTGCAGCATGAAATAGGAGAAATCCATTTTAATCATTTAATATTTCATTTTAAAAGCCACATATAAAACTTTAAAAATATCTGTAGCTTTTTAATTTAAAATTACCATTATGTTTCACAAATATTCAAAATATGAATGAAATTATATTGTGGTATGCTATTCAAAATGCCTATTGTGTGTGTGTGCGTGTGCATTCTGATATGTATCATTCTGTCTCTGTCTCTACATTTTCTGGCTGAACTAAAACTTTCTTTTCTCAATATATACTTACAATTTATTATTCAACCTTGAAGTTGATATTGTGACCTTTAAGATTATTTATGTAACAAAGACCTCGGAAATAAAATAATACACATTATAAGTAACATTTTTTTTTCTGAGTTTCAAATTGAGCTTTGTTAGCTCAGACTCACCAGTTGTAGATATTATTGATATATTGTGATATATATATACACATATATATACTATAGAAAACATATTTGAAACTAGAATTTAGACTTTCTAGCTTTATGAAAGGAAACATTTGTTTTCTCAATTTTTGTATTGTGGAATTTTTCAGCAGCATGAATGTACATACTCATTACCAGAATTCTGGTTCCTGTATCACGTTGTTGGGTTTATTTTGAGCCTGGTTATCTCCTGATCTGACACCACAAAGTTTCCAGTGGCAGGTCGCATGCCTTATATACAGTTCCTAAGTGGGTGTATTTGAGTGTGCTGGGCACTCAATCAATGTTTAATGAAACCATTACTATCTATATAAATTGATGCAGATATTTTTGAATACCTAAGCATAAATGTTAACTGGATATTTTCCCTTTTGCTGCAAAAAATTTGATGCAGTTTTAAAAATTTGTTTAACAGAGTTTATTCTAGGATCCCCAATGATGGAGAAGCAGCAGCATCTGAAAGCAGCATACATTTGGCACAGTTAACCCTCCTCCATGATGTCAGCCCTGATGACAAAGGAGAAAGCATTGTGTGTGAGTCAGAAGACATTTCTCCAAATAATATTCCTAACTAACCAAAGATCTAGAAGGGGGAACCCCAAAATTATAGCTAAAGTTAGAGTTTCTAAGCACAGTCTGGAAGCTCAGGATGGGAACCGAGGGGCATGCCAGATGGATTACAGTTCTGCTTCTTGTATTGCAGGGATCCAAAAACCTCAGCACTCATTTATAAGCCCAGCCTAACATGAGATTCTCTTCTTACATTCCAAAAGGTCATTATTATTTTATTCCAAAATCTTGTAATTATTTTAGGCTTGCCACAAATATCAGATCTTAAGGTATGTAAATTGTTTTAACACTGTTGTTCTGTGTATAGTTATGTCAATTCTGTCAAAGTTTTACAAGAATAAGATGAACTGCAAATTTAAATATGTACATTTGCAAGGAATATGATGAATATTGGCATTTATAAATGCTGAACCAATTTCTACAAATGACATAGATGAGTACCAATTTTTAGCAAACCAGGAGGGAAAGTGGTATATAAAATAAAGAGGTGGTATTAAGTAACTTTTGGCAGGGAAAGTATGACTATTTTTTTCAGAGCTTTTTAATTGCTTTAGAACTTTGGAGCCAAATTTCAAACTGATTTGCAATGTATATATTATACTACATCTTTTCCTCCCCAAGATATTTAATGTTTCCTCTTCATTTCCCCCTCCCCCCAGCCCCACCACCTAGTTTCACAGCTCTTCATGAACAATATGCATCCTTCAAAGAAAGAAAAGCAATTTGATCCTCTTGGTGGAAATCTGCCCAAGGTTTGGTATTCACCGAACAACTTGGCTCACCTTTCCCTGAGCTGGGAGTCAAGAATGTTTCATTATTTTACCATTAAAACCTTGTGGTTCAAAATTCCTGACATGAAGTAGAGCTACATATTTCTTTCTCTTCAAATAAGCAAGTAAAATAGGCATCTATTTTATCAGAATGTACTTGTTTGTAAATAGAGTAGACTTGTATTGTGGTCCCTCATTGATGACTAATCGCTTAACTTCCATTGTAAGTGGCATTGAATATTATAAATGGTAAATTTTTTTAAAGGTTAACAAAAAGCATACTTCTGTTTTCAGGTCAATTTTTCTTTAATCCATGATTTGGTTTAGATATAGAAGCAGCAGTTTTAGTGTAGAGATGCTCTTAATATAGATGGAGAAACACAGTGTCTCATTAGAATACTAATGTTTGAGAATCCTCACAGTGTTAGCAAAGTTAATGGATGCCCTCAGAACTGAGCCTGCTGGGATGATGGCTCACTGACAGAGGGCTCCGTGGTTTACAAAACTGATAAGTCAACAGTATCAAATATTCACAGAAGGAATACACAAATCCAGCAAGCAATATGATTTCATTTCATTGCAAATCCAGTAAGCAATATGATTTCATTTCATTGCTCAGGAATTGTGTGTTTTCAGGGATGTTAAGCTTTAAAGAAATTAGTTTAATTTGTTTGTAGTACATATTTTGCTAATACACATTCTAATTAAGCCCATGACCTAAATTAATGCACACCTTGTACTTAAGTGATAAAGGAAAACACTCTGAAAATATCTTCTAATCAGTTACATTTTGTTGTGATCCTAGATGTTTTAATCATTATGATTCATTAAAGAAGAAAACTAACTTGATGTTCTGAAGTCATGATGCTCAGTCTAAATTGCTGACCCCATCCAAAGCCTGACATCCATGTGTCAGCCAAGGTAACAATTGTTCCACTAATAAAGTATTTCAGGAGACCTTAAAGGTTAAGGACACTTCGTCTCTAGCATTAGTTAGTATCACTCTAAAACTGCATATAAACCTAAGAAAAAGTAATTCTTTAGAAAACTCAATTGTTAAGTTGAGGCAACTCTAATTTCAATAATCTGAAGGTGTTTTTTTCTAATTTACATATATTAGAAATATATAATATAGTTAAATAAGTGTCTAATATATAAAAATATATATTAGATATACATCATATCTATGAATTTAACTATCTTCAATATGAGTACAAATGATCGCATTTGCTAATGGACAGGGCCCATATTAGGAGAGTAGAAAATAACTAGTTTATATTTTGCAACACATTCCTCAAGTCAGCAGCTGTTAATGA